GCCATTTCAGCCAGGTGGTCATCTTCAGCTGCAGTCAAGAGGGAAAATAACTAGACATTTCCCTTGCAGATACTTCCTGATTACAACCTTATGGCAAAAACCCACCTCATTTTCACTGCCAGTATGCATTTTAATTAATCCTTATGTTCCTAAAATATACTTTGTCAATTAAAAGCCAAGATCAGAGACACTGGCTGGGGGAGGGGAGGTAAGGAGATATTTAAGCAAGACCTCTAAAGTGTTGTAATCAGCATGGATATCATTAAATAGTCGAGCAAATACTCGGTTGCAATACTCTTTCTTTTCTTGCAAAAATCACAGTTTGCATGTGTGCAGTCTCTTGCTCTCTGTTTATTCACCTCTCAGAAAGCAGATCAGCATTAGTGTTTCAGAAAAAACTTTCATTGATCTAAGTCTTCCTTTTATCACTTTATTTCCTGAACCATTTTCAACCAGCCATTAAATATAAACCATAACAAAGTTTTGCCCCCCGCCTGATAAAAAAAACCCCAATGTCTGAAGGTAGTGACACAGAAGAGAGACTGTTTCACATCATGTATGAGCAAACACAACAGAAACACAACAGCCCACGACAACAGATCTTGGTATCAGTACACATCTGGAAGTTAATTGAGGCATTGGTGCTTTCAGGAGGGATTATTTTCCTTGCAGTATTACTGGGCACGATGTGGTCTTCAAAATCACAGCAGTTGGAGAGCATCCTCCCTGACCCCTGATGGAGAAGGTCACAGTCCTGCCCCTGGGAAGTGACCAGTGCTCCCCTTAGGACAACACATCCTTCTGTAAGAGGCAACCTACAGACACAGGACAGCTTGCTCTGCCTCTCACATGGACCAGCAGCCATCTAAACCTCGCCCACGAGTGCAGAGCAAATGAGACGACAGCATTTTAAAGGGTTAAGAGTGGAAATCAAAACAAGGTTAAAAGGTGATTAAATCAAGGATATTTTACTTTATTCAAGTGGTTCAGGTTTCTGAAGAAACTTCTGAAAACTGGAAAACTGGACAAGAAAAAAAACATTTTGATTTGCCTTCCTCGATGAGAGAGTGCCTTTTTGTGAATGATCTAGCAGATCATTCACAATTACAGTGAATGGAAATCATATAGTTAAAATCCTTCAGACTACTTGAGATAACTAGAAGGGACTAACACCTTTTAAAAGGCCATCAAAACATAACACAGCCTGGAAAGTGGTTTCTGCTTTCTAAAAACACTGCATTATCTGGCTGTATTTTCCTCTTCTAGCTTTCTATAAATACTTTAAGGTGTGGTTAGAAAATCATGGCCAAGTTCTTCAAGGATTTTTAGCTTCCATATCATGTTCAGGGCTGCAGCATATTTACATTAGCATTTTCTGGAGAATACACGTCAGTAACTGCTGAGGCAAAACCCTTGGTGGTCTGTTCCTCCCTGACTCTGACCGTTGCCATTTCAATAATTTGCAAATTACTTCCAGATGGGTATCAGTTACACAGACATGGAGAATTTTTATAACATTTATAAATAGTGCTAGAATCCTGCAGACATATGATAAGTGTGCTGTGCAGTGACATGCATGATGAGGCTGTGAATGGGGGTACATGGAGCACACAACCCGTGGACAAGCTGGAATCCCCTTGCATGTACCTGCAGGTAACACTCAGATAGGATACTATCTCAGAGGCACAAAAGCTCAAGGCTATACATGCCAATTGGATACTTTTCTGGGGAGTCAGTCCCCTAAACACAGCCCTTTGGTGCCATTTCAGATGTCTCGGATAACCCAGCACATCTAAAAACAGCCCGGCACCGACACATCGGAGCGCCCGACTCGCTCCCCCCTCTTGGGGACGCAGGAGACACCCCTGAATCCAGCAGCCAGCCTTTCCCAAGGCTGCTACTTTGCTTCTTTCACCAGTGTTCTTTTTAGGATTCAGAAAATCATCCCCTGGAGTCTCTCCAGACTACCAAATAATTCATTGCACTGAGGAAATGACAACCCCCGTTTTAAGCGGCTCCTGCTGCATTTTTAATCTCAGCTGCTCCATATGTGCAATTCAGTTGCCTACATAATACATCTAATTGCCTGGCATTTACATTCAATTAAATTCTGTGATACTATTTTGCAATATTAATTAACTAACTCTGCCAGGGGCTAATTGGCCACAGCATTTGACAATGGCAGGGCTAGAGCATGGTATGAAGATAAGGGTGTCTAGGGCTGTCTCCTCGATGGAGACCTACTAGAGTCCATGCTGGTGTGGGTACTTATTGAATTCCCATTAGTTTATGGGATTTTCATTTGCTTTAGACATAATTCTTGGGAGAACTTGATGGAAAAGTCACTCCTACCACAGATTTCAACACCACTTTAACTTTTTTCCTAAAGTTGTTTTTCTTTGGCATCCGGCTTTGTGTGCTGAAAAAGCAACTTTGTTAATGCCTGGCAGTCGGAATTTGGATCTGTTCAACTATAAATAAAATCCAGGAAGAAGAAAGTTTGAAAATCACAGAGTAGAGAAGAAATATTGTGGTTGTACAGTGGGAAGTACAATAGTTGTTTCTGTTCACAACCACCAAAAATAAAGACTGAAAGATTTTTGTACCCTGTTCCACAGAGAAAAAGGAATGGACAGAATGAAGCAAAAACGTGCCATATCTGGTGCTGGTCATTTCTATTAAGGAAATGCTTTTGTTTGAATCTACTTCATTATGTTCCCATTTAAGATGAACGTGAGCTGAAACAAAGAGAACCTGGACTTGACTTGTTGGGGTGTTTAATTGTTTTAGTTGGAGTTTCTTTTCCCTCCCCAGAAGTTGCTTTAACACATCAAGCAAGCATGCTAAGAATGATTTACAGCTTCTGGGTGTTCACACACAATTCTGAGCTTAATGCTAGCCTATTTTTTTTTCAAACTAAAGAGCTGGATTTAGAGGTACATGCAGCAAATGGCTCTTAGGCAATAAGCACAACAGATGATGGCTGAAGGCTCTGCCTTTTCTCTTTACCTCCTGACACACCCCAGGGTTTATGGAAGTTACACAACATGCACACCCACCAGTTAGGTTTTATTGCTTAATTACTTATTGGGAAAAAAAAAATAAGTCTCCCATAGTCATATAAGTTGGGAAAAGATAATTGTTTGCGGTTTTTTTCAACTTTTGGCGTGAAATGTGACTGTGAAGAATTTTAAAAAAGAAAAGAGGGACACTACAAATCTAATTCAACAAAACACACAGACACACAGCAGCACATCACGAGGCACATAGGGAATGTTGGCTAGTATATATTCTGAAGCCAACCAAGTCTTCCTAGGCTTATTTTTTTCCAACTTACTACTCACGCCATAGAGCTTTTCTTAAATCCTGTCAATTCCACCAATGCACCATCTGAAAACCTATTTTTCTTCATGAAGCATTCTCAGCTATACTGCAAATTTAAGCAATACCTAAAATCAGAGGGAGTAAAGCAGAACCTGTTAAGCATGAAATAAGATATCGCACACAATTCATCTGACATAAATAAGCTCAACTGTGCTTCAGAATTGTACTGACCTGAGTCAAAACCACTTAAGAACCAGTGAAAATGGAGGTATTTAAGTGCATTAGTAATGGTAGCTGCTGCATTACCAGGATATAAGAGAGATCAAAATTGTAAGGAGAGGTAGAACACCTTATTAGAGCAACCAGTGAGGCTGAGGTGCAAAAAATAAAACTAGAGAAGCTTTCAGGAACCTAAGCCTTTCTTCAGCAGCAGGCAATCCATCCCTTATCAACAATTTCTTGATATCTTTGTTCCAGTGAGGTGCAGTGACAGATAACCAGAGTCAAAGGGTTCAGGGCTTTAGCTGCAGTTTTGCTATAGGGTTAATTTATCCTTTTGCCCTCCACAAATGGTTTTCATTCTTCGCTTGCTCTCTCATTGGTAAAGTCAGAACACCACTTCCCTACCTCATAAGGGTTTGTCTCTTTGGCAAAACAAGCTGTTCTTTCTCTAAGGTGCCTTTATTAAAAAAAACCTCTCAACACAGCATTCATAGTCCTACTCTTGCCAAAGTCACAAAGAGACAGCCTTACTTTTGCATTTTAAATGCACTTTGATATAAGAAATGCTACTTTATCACTGAAAATGCAAGAGAAGCAATGCAAATTGCAGTAGTTTTGTCTTATCTATTGCCTGGTACTGGAAGTTCTTAAAGCTCTTTAGCAAAGGTTGAACCATTAGCCTTACCCTCTCTTCACAGATAAGGAAACCAGGGCACACAGAAGTCCCATGCCACATAATAGCACTTACTAAAGTAGTAATTGAACGTCAAAGCTGCCTCCCTGTTTATTGACTCTGAAACCCAACCTAATACAGGGCTATGCTGCTTCAACTTTTTTGCAAAAGCATCTCAGTAAGACTTCAGTTCAGCAAAGTACTGGGCACATAAGCCCTGGTGCAGCTCTAGGATTCAGAAGTCCAATTATCACCTAAGTAAAACAAAAGGAATCTAAAAGGAGAGCGGGACAAACGGGGGGTGGGAAGTGGAGAAAAAATTTCTGCCAGAGAAACTAAGAACAAGAAGCCCTGTACTACAGAAGCTGAATTTCTGATCTAGGTCAGGATGGGCTTGTGAGCACTGCATCTCCAGCCTACAAGGACAATGGAAGCCAGCTGCTCACTGAGTGAAGCAACATCTATTTCATGGAACTTATGCAACAGCTCTACTGTAGCTCCTTCAGAAACAATGGTAATTACACACCTCTTGTGTTATCTTTGGATAACACTGTAATTATTATATGTCATCACTCCAGCCATGATTAAAATAATTACTGTAAAAAGTCCCTTGTAAGTAGCATTTACTGTTCCGGTTTCCAAACATATACAGGATTATATTTTTAAAGTATAATTGCTTTTTCTGTTCACAGCTCACCTCAACACTGTTTCTCCACCCACCTTCCACTTTACACAGCCATGTGATGTCATAGCAGAACTTTAACACGTGGGAAATACTTACAGCTCTTCCAAGTAGGGAAAGTTCTTGAAGGCATCTTCTGGTAGCCTTGTGATGTTATTCATGCTGATGTCCCTGAAGAAGAGGAAATACAGATTTATCAATAACCAGTAAGGAATTTTTACACTCTAGGAAAAGGATGAGAAGAAGAAAACCTAATCAAATGGTATAGTAACAGAAAAAAATATTCTAGCATCACACAGTATTATCTCTTTCCAGAAATTTGCATGCTAAACTTTCAAATCACTGTAATTTGAGAATCCAGTTGCAGCAAAGACCTACAAAAAGGGAAGTTGACTAAATCAAGTTTTACAAAACCTCTAAACAAAAACAAATACTGTAAAACTAGAGGGAAGGCATGCATGGAAGAGGCTCTACAGCACTGTTATCCCCAGTACTAATTTTTACCAACTTAGATGTGCGTACAGTTTTAATGCAGATATTTAAGACTGCTCTAAAACCCCAGCATAGGGGTAAAAAAAAATGTGACCACCCAGCATGCAAATTTTCATCCCACAGTGTCTTAAAAAAAAAAAAAAAAGAATACATGCATTAGGACTTAATAAATAGCTTCTGGCAAATATGGCTTCTGGAACAACTGACAAGAATAGCAGAAACATGTCTCAGCCCTACCACAGGTTTTTTTGTTTGGTTTGGTGGGGGGGTTGGGGTGTGTGTGTATTTTTTTAGGGGGGGTTGGGTTTTTGTGTGTGTGTGTGTGGTTTTTTGTTTGCTTGTTTTTTTGCATTTTGTTTTCCTTCTACAAAACCTACGAAAGTCCTCGACCTAATAGTTTTAAGCAGATTTCATTCTCGGTCCGTGAGCAGAGACAGGCCGGCAGCAAGTGCCTACATGATAGGTATGCAGACCTGCTCGGCTTTTTTCTTCACAAAGGAGCAGTAAGTGGCAAACTTGGTGCCATCACCTCAGTTCACACCTACACAACCATCACAGATAATCCAGTCCTGAAGCTAGTTATTACTCAATGTGAATAAAAGCAGCCCGAAAACAATTCAGTTTGATAATTAAGCTAATAACTGCCTAACAATCTGTGACATAACCCAAGTTCTTACTTTCCACTTTGTTATTGCCTTTTTTTTTTTAAGCATAACGAGCAATTCAGTAAGACTTGTTACTAGAGCCCTCCCTGCTTGCTGTCTTCCACTCAATTTTCTCTAGCAGCTATGTGCTACCTCTCTATGTAATTCAGGTAAAAAGCAAACAAAGCCAAAACACTCCTTTCATCTCACTGACAGCCAACCAGCACCACTGAAGCTCCTCCATGAAGATTTGAGTGACTTCATGCAGGACAACAGATGTTGGTTGACACCTAAAATGCTTGACCTTGGAATGAAGTACCAACCCCTGCCTACTGCTGGGGTAGACATTCTTAGCCCATCCACAGCCACCACTATCTGCCTCAACTGGAATTACCACTGCTTCTGATGAGGCAGAGAAAGGCTGGTTTAGACTTCTACTATCCTGGAAGGGCAGCAAAACCAATCACAATCAGGATATCTTCCATGGCTCTCAGAGAGGACTCAGTGCTGACCTCAGGAGGTTCTGAGCCAGGCCCCTAAGGGGAGCAAGGAGCACATGGAGGGGTTGGTGCTGCCTCTGAGGAAACAGTGGCTCAGGACATTTGTTCCTTCTTTCATGCTGTGATGAACCAAACGCCATGTCCAGTACCATATAACCTGCCAAAAATGTTGCAGCAGCTAACTGAACCACATTTTGCAGAGTACTCACATCAATTCTCCCGTCACCAGACCATAATGTCTAAAATAACTCTTTTTAAAAAAAAAAATTATTTACACTGACAACAGAATTCCATTTGTAAAAAAAAAATAATAAAAAAAATCCCTAGTTACTGAGGAAAAATTATTTTTTTCTCCACAGCAGTTGACAATGTCAACTGATATCAGTGAATTCATTTTGACATTAACAAGTAACTGGCAACTGGTCTGCTGGCCCAACTGGGCAGCACAGGTCACCAAACACCACCAGTGTGAACACTGCACTCTTACATTAAATACAGAGGCAACCGTTTCTTTAAACTAAATGTTTATTAAATAGTAGTCCAAAACTTCATTCCTCATTTCCCAATGTAAACCAAGAGTTATTCCTCAGCAGCTGTTAACAGTACACTAACGTAACTCAAGAGCAACGAGGTTCAGCACAGACAAAACAAACCCAACTGTGAGAGAAGCCCAAGAAAATCCACTACGGCACAACAAGCTCGTTTACTAAGGTCCAGAAGGAGCTGAACTGGAGGTGATTTATCCCTGAACTCTACAGCCCACATGCTTTAAGAGCTGCTTTGTGTCTCAGCAGCAGCCCGGTTACCGTGCGATGCTGCAGTTGCTGTGGGGGACATTTTTCTTCTTGTGCAGGAGAGTAAATAAAAGTATCAGATATATGAATCGTCAGCTGTCTGCTCCACGGGAGACTGCAACTTCTGTTCTCTCTACCCTCATAGACATTTTTCAAATCGTCACAAATACAGGCATTTCACACATCCTCTCCTTCTCAAAGGACTGCAAATCTCCTTCCAGTATCAACCGGGAAGCATTTACAAATAAGGTAGGAGGGTAAGAAGGGAGTGGAGACCCTAATCCTAAAAAAAAAAAATAGTAACCTGTGCAAGAAAATCACAACTCTCTCAAAAGACTGTCCAGGTGACACAAAACCCTACTATCACAGAGGTGATATTAAATGGTAGTAGTAAAAATAAGTCAACAGTACTTATCACCAGAAAGCACCTTATGAATGCCTATGCATCACTTTGGCAAAGATTTTGGCTGCAGCCACGTTTGTTGCACTACATAACAGCTCTTCAGGACAGCTGAGGTAAAGAAACCACATCCACCTGAAAGAAACAGTCTTCAAACTTCCACAGCTATAAATGCCCAATTTCAGAAGTGCCATATGCAATCCTAAACAAAGTCAATGGAAACCATGCAGTCATACAGCATGGCTGACATCCAAATTCTACGCAATTTTGGCTTTCTCTGGGATCTGAAATTAGCAAAGAATGGTTTTTTTGCCTGTAGCTCCAAGAGTTTGCTCTACAATTTTAATATGGGAAGTAGATTCTTTGGATGTAAACATGAAACAGGTCACCTTAAAAATGAGGCTCTGAGAAACACCATCAATATCCTCAAATTATACCGAAATTTATTTTCAGTGAAGCTGAATTTACAACAAAAACAGACACAAATATGAATTGAGATTGTATTTATCATGTGAATCTTTAGAGACTGCTTATCATGATGCCTCGCTAAAAAGCTGGAATTATTACAAAGTTTCTGTATTGGCCTTCAATACACATGCTAGTAACTCTTAGTCAGTAAATAAGTCAATCTTCATAGCACTGACTCACAAACTTTGGGGAACATCTTTCAAAGTTTCTTAACGATCACCATATGAGTTTTAAAGCAATTTTTGCTTAATTCAAAGCATTCTGTAAAAGCAGCTTTGCTGAGATAGATATAGATATATATATACATACACAGGGATATCTACATATAGGTGTGAAATATTTTTTCTTTTCATTTCACTCTACAGAATATCCTCAGAGAATGAGTTCTCGGGCATTATGTGCTGGTAATAAAATATTAAATAGTTCACGAGCTTCTGTGGAGTAATGGATAGGGTTAAAAGTTAAAGGAGAATAAGAATTACAGAAGGAGACCCAGCTGCTGCTTCTCGGATGAAACATGGTCACGATGCCCCACAAAGGTTCCCCAAACTGTGATAAACACCTGTTATGGAGGATGCACCTTGTGAAGGCACTGTGACCTCCCTCCACAAACATCCTGCAGGAAGGGGAACGTGGTGACACTTTGACTGTGCCATATCTGTCCATCTGATTGATGCCAAGGACAACTACCCAATTAAGCACTTATGACTACATTCACTCAAACTCCACCTAAAGCTAAAGAAATAGTATAAAAGGAAGGAAGGAAATGGGGAAATAGCAGAGGAAAGTTTCCACCAAAACTGCTGGATCAGCTGATGGGCTGAACATGTCTTTCCCACCCCATTTTAGGGACACCTATCAGGGGAGAAACTTATGCTGTATGTGCTAATTACTGCTTTAAGGACTAGATCTCATGTTTTGCTCCATAACATATTAGTAGATTGTTTTGTATTAGAGTTTGTGCTTGTGCCTTGCTTTGTAGTATGATTAGATTGCTTGAAGTGTGTTCTTTCAGCTAGACCCTGTCACTGACGACCAGGAACCTCATTAACTTGTCACAGTTTGCATTAATAAAGTATGTTATTCTGTAAACTGTTGGGGTGAGTCCCTTATAAGGTGCTGAATAACACATGGCAAGGCCTGCTGAGGGGCTCTCCCTTAGGCTGTTACCCGGCAGTCCCCGAAAAAGGGCAATGGAATCACCCTGATCTTGTGAATCCGTTTGGAGAAGGGTTCCCGTGTGGGATACCTGACAGACTGGGTCGGACAGACATGGTTTTGTTCTCCCTGAGGCACTAACAGACAAATAAATCTCTGTGGGTCGAGAAAACCTCCCCACTCTAAGGGTCAGGCACAGCCCTGCCTTTCACGTGACAGCTTCAGTGCAAGAATTTACAACCATTAGGAACACCCAGGTCACTAAAATTAGATGGCTTAATAACTACTCTCTGAGAAGCTTACCTAGTTAATTTGGGAAGATACTTTTAATAACACATGCTTCATAAAAGAATTGCAACAAAAATGGACTAGCACCATATATTATGACAAAATAATGACAAATAATCCCCTGAAACCACAGTCCAAAACAAAAATAGCCCTTGCTATTTGTACTTTAGGAAACAGTCATTTTACTAATCCTAAAATTAAAAAAAAAAAAAAAATTAATCAGTCTATACAGTATCAAGAAGGCTGTCCACTTAATGAAGACAAATATTAGTATGTGCCTTAGATATGTCAAAGACATCTCCTCTGAGAAGCTGTCCTACTCCACCTGTACCTCCACTTCTCCTAGAAAGACCTCAGGTATAAGAGCCCAGAGCTTATTTAAGGCCCTAATATATAAAATGAAGTTCTAAGAATGAACAAAATGAAT